TAGGACCTGAATTGAAGTAAGCAATTTTAGTCGTTTTCTCGAAGTCGGCATGTTGACAATGACATTGCTTCTTAAATTGAATGCAGCCCATGTAATGGCTTTCAATTTTGATCATTTTTGACAAGCAATGTGTGTGAGAAAATCGAAAGGCAAAATTGATTGTGTGTCGTCAGCGTAAGGACAATTGTCACAAACAATCACTACCCTCCGCGGAAAAGCGTTTATTAACAAAAATAAGTAACCAAACAAACCTGCAGGAACTAGTGACAATCAGTGACAGCCGTCCGCAAGGAAACACAGCTATCGTCAAAATGGCAGGCCTTCCATTCAGGTTTAGCGTTGCCGTACGCTCTAGAAAAATATTATATGGTGAAATTTCTAATACGTTACAGGGTGCACTATATGCCGAAGAGTAAAATGCTTAGATTTTTTGGTGCGACGAACAGTAACCCATAACAAGCGAAGTAATGCATATGGAAAAAAACGAAGTAATGCATACATGCTCAATTTCGGTTGAAATCGAAATAATGTCTAAATTTACAGTTTCCATATGCGCAATTTCGGTGCCCCATTTTTCATATGTGACAATGAAACCAGTTTCACTCATGGGGAAATCATAGAGCTTTTTATTTTATAAATATTGACAGAGAATACGATGGGAGCTTTTACTGGATTAAAATCTTTATAAAATTTCTTTACAAATAATTTATCAAGAAAACACAGAATTGGGCGGTTAAAATATATTGCACCTCCTGTTGTTTAGGAGTTATAAATGTTTCAACAGCGGACTGTTGCATTACAATTTTTGGAAGTACTCTTTAAAGCTGCTTTATATTATCGAAAAACTCTGCTCTCGTCTATATGTGTGTACTCTATTGAGAGGACTAAGAAGTACGAGAACGCAAAATTTGCAAAAACTTGCAGCCTTCGAAACAGTTGATCACTTCCACAGTTGCCACTGGTGGGTAATTTATTTTCTGCTTGGTACATTTTCCCCGATTTTGCATTTTATACAATTGCATACTATTGGAATTGAAAAACCTTTTTAAAATACAAATTAATTATATCGGAATGAATGAAATATATTTCCCAAAATTATTTGTGATACCACATCATGGCACATTCAAAAATAAGAAAATATCCTCCAAACACCCATCCTTGAAAAAAAAAATTGGTAGGTATCTACAAATGTACATTTATGTAGATGCTACAAATGTACTTTTAAAATTATAAAATTATAATTTCAACAATCAACCTACCAAAACTGACAAATTCGGCCAACAAAATTTCAGCTTGCTGCATTTTTATCTATTTTGGTATATTTAGAGAACAATTATGGTACAAACGAAAAATGGCATACGGCAACCATAGTCAGCACACACTAAAGTAAACAAACCGGAAATTAATAGTAAATTAACTAAAAATAAACTCAACAAACCTTGTGCTTAATAACTTTACTCTCTTTTTCGTTGTATACTAGCATTAATAATAAAATTTGCAGTAAATAATTCAAAAAAGTCATATTTTCTTTTGTTTATTTACAAACATATGTTTGTGATGTCGTGTGATGTGTCGGCCGCTGTGGTGTAGTGGTAAGCAGTGCGCTCTTCCACTCCACAATGCCTGGGTTCAAGCCCTAGTCAAAGCAACATCAAAAAAATATAGAAAACGGTTTTTTTTCTTAACAGCGGTCGTCCCTCGGCAGGCAATGGCAAACCTCCGAGTGTATTTCTGCCATGAAAAACAGCTTCTCATAAAAATACAATCGCCATTCGGAGTCGGCGTAAAACTGTAGGTCCCTCCGCTGTGTGTGACAACATCAAGGCGCACGCCACAAATCGGAGGAGAAGCTCGGCCAAACACTAACATATGTGTAAGCGCCAATCTATTATTATTATGTTTGTGATCAGCCGATTTTCTTACTTGCAAGTTTCCGCTGGGAAAATTTGTTCCATTAATTCTGAGGTCAGTACAGAAAAAGGCTGTTACGATCATCGTATATACTTACAAGTATGGAATCCTATGCCCCTTTTTGTTTATTCTCTTTCTAACAGCGGACGTGCCTGCCAAACTGAAAAGCATGATGGCGGCAATGTTTGACAGGCACGTTCGACGATGCGAACGGCAATGGAAGGTAAGAAATGGAAGATGGATGACATGAGAATGAAAGAATTATGAAATAGCAGAATGGCGAATTAAAACGAATTTCAAAAATCTCACAATGCGAATGACGTCAAAATGAAAGAAATGCAAAATAGCGGAATGTCGAAACAGAAGAAATAGATAACAAGCACGTATTCAAGGGTTTCGTGTAACAAAAAGAGTTGCTGTGTTGCGCCATTGAATATTTAAAAACAAAAAAAGTACATATTTCACCAGCCAAAACGTATATATGTACATAGGTATTTATACAGCGTGACGCTACAAGATTCATTTATAAAAACCGTACATGCTAGTGGCCTTATTTAAAAAAAATAAAATAGATTTATATAGCTCTGTACAGTGACATTTTTATAAAAAGTTAGATTTCTTAATTTTTTATGAATTTGGGTAAAATATTAACTTTGTGTGCATTTTCAATCTCAAACAACAACAATTGTGAACAATTTAATTTTTTTATTTTAAATTTTATATGATTTTAAAATGTTGGCAAGCGTCAGAAAAAAATCATGGCCGACGAATTGATAGAATGAATTTACCGTGTAATGTTTTTATCATGGGTGGCACCGTCAGACGTACCGCTAATTTGAATTTGTCGATTTTGATAATTCTGATCTAAAAGTAAAAGGCGCATCAGAAACTTTAAATGCACTGAAATTCACTTCCACTTCCACAAAAATTACCGTTTTTTTCACATTTTTCTTATTAATTGTCATTGTATATCATATATTTTTAGAATTTAGCACAATTAAAACCCGTTTACTATCGAAAAATTTATTATTGAGAAAATTAAGAAGAATTAACATGCAATTCGGCTTTGTTTACTTTTTGTACAGAAATATCATCTCCACTATGACGGGGCAATCTTGTATTCTTTCTTGTCAAATATGCATTTTGATGTAACTGCTATGAAGCTATGAATACTCATTAAAATCGTTTCAATTCGTAATAAACGTACATTACACACTTGTAGTCTAAATATATTTTTATAACGCTTTTATCAACTTGCAATGTTGTATATCCAGCCCACCATATACTATAAATATAGCAAAGGTATTTATGGCAAACCTAGTCTAGATATCAACCTCGTCGTAGGTATCATATCAAAGACATACAATTAGAAAGCCTCTAGAGATAGATGTCGCCTCGCCAGAAGAAGTTAAAAATATGCACTACATACGCTACAGCGAAAATGGACGTCACGCCATTTCTTTAAATCAAATTAATTGCTGCTATATGTATGTATGTACATATGGGTGTTTCCATACAGCCGTACGCGACATTCGTACGTTTATAGAGTAACGTAAATCAATCAAAAATAGAAGTTACAGAAAAAAAAGGTTACGGTTATGTTGCAACCAAAGGGTACTACGTTTGAGAAAAAAATAAGCAGCCTCGAAACTTTGGTGTGGAAAATATCCGTTCAAAACCAGGTGATAACTTACGCGACAAAAAAAAAGGGGTTTTAAGGCACATATACATATATGCGAAAGTCTGCGAATCATGAGAGTTTTTCTTTTCTTTAAAAATTCCTAAACTAAGCTAAATAATGTACCTTTACAATCCTTTCATATTTTAAGAGAAATTATC